CGGGGAGAGTGCCTGTAAATCCTAACTTTCTTCCATGTTGTTAAGTACAAGACTCCGCCCCGGACCCAACTACAGGGTATTCAAACGGATTCAGGGCGTATTCAATTGAATACGCCCTGAATCCGTTTGAATACGGACCCTTATTCCGTTGATGCAATTTCAATCTTAGTATTTACTACTGGTTGTGGTATTTTGAGTAGTCTAAATTCTTGTATCAGTGTCAGTGATAGTATTTGTCTACTGTTAATATTAGTCTGAGTATTATCATTAGTATTAGTAGTCACTATCGATATCAGTATGTCAGTTAGTATTAGTCTGGGTATGCATGTTAGTATTTGTATTCATACTCGTATACGTATTTGTATCCGCATATGTATTAGGTTTAATATGTTGAGTATATATTACGTAATAGATAAGTATATTAATGCATAAGTTAATTAGTAGATGAGTATATCAGTAGGCGAATGTTTTTGTACATTAGGATATTTGAATACTTGTATAATCGTACATTAGTATAGCAGGGTATGATTTTATGAGTGTCTCAGTAGACTGGAAAATGGTGTATTTGTATATTAGTATATCTGTTCTCACGATATTGACACATTCGTAAAATTGAAGAATATATGCCTGGTTTTTTGTGTATTTGTATATGAATGCATCAGTATATCAAAGTATTAGTATATTTGTTTATTCGTATATTAGTATGTTCGTATATTAGCATATTCGTATATGAATCATCTAGCATATTAGCATATTAGCATAATTACATATGAGTACATGAGTATAGTCGTATAGTGGTTTCTGAGTATAAGAGAAAACGAACCCATTAGTACATGAATGTGCTACTGTATTGGTGCTTTAATATAGTCGTATGTATATTATTATACGTTTGAAATCTAGAAAATCTATATGCACTAGTATGCGTATGAGCATTGATAATCAATGTCAATGTGAGCCTCAGTAGTAATATAAGTATTAGTCGGAATATACATAATCTAGATAATAATACTCGAATACGCAGTAGTGTTCGTATTGGTATTAGGTTTAATATTTTAAATGCATATTAATAGACTAGTACTTCTCAAGATTAATATACTAATACATGAATGTATTAGTATATGAGTATGCTTGCACACTTGTAACGTCGTGCATTGGTATGCCCGTCCATTGTTATATTAGTATAAATAGGAAACTGGTACATTTGTATATTAGCACGTTCGTTTATCAATATATTAGCTTTTGTACAACTGTTTTAGTATACTTTTTTTGGCAAACGAGTGTTCGTATGTTAGTACAGTGGTATATGAATATACCAGAGTCTGTAAAATATTAGTATATGAATATGCCAATGTACTGGTATTTTAATGTAGTATCATGTATATTGGTACACATTCGTACATGTACGCGGTTTTATTCGTATGAGTTGACATTATTGTGAATATGAACATGAATCTTAGCATTCGTAGGAGTACTAATGTTAATATAAGTATTCCGTATTGGCATAAGTATTAGTATGTGGTTTATGCCTATTCGTATCAGCCTTAATATTAGCTATTAGTATGAGTACTTAACCTAATAGAATAGTTGAGACGAGTGTGGATAATAGATAAAAACCTTAAGAATCTGAGTATTCGTATCCGTCTTAATGGTCGCGTTAGTGTTGATGTTAGTATTAGTATTCAATATGTTTTTGACGAGTAATATTCCTAGGAAAAGCTAGTATCAGCATTACTTTTCATGTTAATAGTATTGGTGGTAGCATTATGTTGAGTCTTATTCTTAATACAAACATTGCTGAGTTTCCGACTCTTTCAACGAAATGCTACTGACACTTTGTCTTCCGTTTGCATGAGCTTTTGCACATGATTCAAGCACAAAACGTGGGTACATGAGGGGGGGGGGTAGCATATATCTATATATATATATATATGTATGTATGTATATACATATATATATACACATGTATATGTATATGTATGTATGCATGCATGATGATGATGATTGTGAAGATGAAGATGATGATGATGATGAGGATGATGACGTGGTTTCATGTATTTTCATGTACGGGTATGCATGTCGTTGTACAAGTGCAATTTTGCATGCGGTGACTGACTACTGTGCAGTTTTGCTATTTGCCCTGCTTGTAGCTTGTATGTGTTTACTCCTCTGAGATCGCAGCCCCCTGTTCACGGGCATTTGGCCTGACTGAAATTTTCACAGCCCAAACTCCGAATCCTGGGGCCTGGGACTCCGAGCTGCGTGCAGCAAGCTTGGAGTCTTCGAGTGGAGGTGTGAAGTCGTGAGTCTTGCCTCATCGAATACGTGATAGAGAAATTCGAGCAGTCCTCCAGTCTCCGGTGGAGTCCAGCAATGTTAGCCCCCGGGGTCAAAGAGCAGCTGCCCAAGGTTTTTTTCTCACACGAAAAGCAGCACCCCTGAACGAATTCTTGAGATGGAATGAAAGAGTCTGTGATGGAGCATGCAATCCTTTGAGCACAAAGTGGCACCACACGCCGATAGTGGCGACCCGCTGTTGATCGAGTCGTTGCAGGACTTCCACAACATGCTGCATTTGTGGATGGGATGACTTATGATTCATGATGCTTTGCAAGCTGCACAGAATCTGCCAAAGAGAGTCCCTCAAATGCTGTGGTTTCGAGGCTCGGAAACAGGCAGGCGGCTGCAAATCGTTGCCCGGGCATGCTGCTGCCTGCCATACTCTAGCCAGTGTAATTTCTTTGGTTCTGGGTCCAATTCATGACAGCCACCTGCTGCCCTCACACTCCATGTTCCAACAAACTTGGCTGAAGGATGCAAAAAGTAGCCCTCGGAGAAGGCCGAGCATAGCACGGACCCCTTTCCCGCTGATGGGCCTTTTGGTGTGGACTGACTGGCCATGTGCTTTACGCTGGCCTTGTCTTCTCTTCATGTTTCCCGGCTATCGGCAGATTCGGGTCAGTCTTTGTCATGGCAGCTATTTCTCATGGCAGCTAGGGGGCCTGGTACGATTCTCCCTTGGTTGGACGCTTTGGACAGGTGCTCATTCTTTCCTAGGGGCACATGTCTTGCTGATGGGCCAAAATGCCACGATCTTTCTTGAAGACAGCATTTGTCAAAGACCCAAGGGGACACTTACCCCTATGTTCCAGATTGTGCCGGGAAAGATGTGGGCAACGAGAGTGGCAATCAAATTCAGGAAGCTCAGGGCGAATTGAAATGTATTGACTAGATGCCAGTTCTTGTCATTTCTATTGCTTTTTCTTTCTGGCCTGCTTCGCGATCCAATGCCAGCCCTGTTTGTTTTGCTGATTGGTTTACGTTCTTGTCCACATGATGATCCTTCTTGCTGTCATCCGCATCTAATACGGCTCGCAACACAAGGCTTAAGAAGCTTTCGGATGTTAGGCACGATCCGAGCCGCTCAGAGCCTTGCACCAGTCTTGACGTTTCTGCGACCAATTGTCAATCCATTTTCGGCAAACTTCAACTCCATAACAAGAGGCTAGACAGTTCCAATCCGGATGGACTCTCCTGCTTGGGATAGACTGTAGAAGATGCCGGTGCGGGTATTGTCATCATAGCCCGTTCATCTGCCTGGAAAAGTTGCGAAGTCCAATCGTGCATAAAGTGCCGGATTTCAGACAGACAATCGTTTTGCATCATCTGAAGGACACCTATTGTGCCGGGAAGCGAAAGCAACTTTGCGTGCAAGCCGTCGAGTGCGCAGCCATGTGATGTCAATATGCTGCCAGCATTGCAGACTTGGACAGGTACATTTGCACGACTGACCCGGGTCAGTGTAGCATGGGCGATTGCCGCTGTGAGGATTCATCCCACGTCCGTAAGGTGTGGCGATGCACTGCTGACGCTGCTCCGCGGTTGTTATTTTCCTGTCTGGCTGAACAGGAAATGCAGACCGTCAACAGATCTCTGTGCCAAGTGCCGCAAACTTAGATCGCCTTGAACAATATTAGCCTGTTTTGCAACATCGCGAGAGTCTATGCTCCAAGGTGTGGACCTCCAGTGCCAAATTGCCCCATGCGCGAGACTTGCGACCTTCAGTCCTGCAGCCTGCAACAAATCAAACCGGAGCATCAGGTCTTCCGACTCGTGTGTCGCCGGTCCGTGCGAGTGCCCCGGAGGTTTCGTCAAGGCATGATGGACTCACCTCTACATACCTCTACCAGATAGCGTAGTTTACCATAGTCGTCTGTTGCAGGTCAGCCATGGTGACGATTGCTTTAGCAGCATCCTCATGCTACGGTTTCCCAGACCTGTTCAAGATTTTAGGCGTTGGGAAGAAAGCTAAATACCTGAGGCTGCACCGCGGGACCAGCGCCTCCAACAGGACCAGGCCAGGACATGGGCGTGTGGGTGGTCGGGTGCAGCTATGGCCATGGCCGCGACTCAGCAGCGAAAGGAGTTGCAACTTTTTCATCCTTGGCCTCAGCAATCGTTTCGTCATCACCCCAGCCGCAGCATGCTCTGCTAAAAGTGGATGTAGGTCCGATGTAGATATTGCGCACGTGCAGGTTCCTTTGTTGTGTTGGCCTGGGAGTTGCTGTTGCCTGCGCGGCACGTCGATGTTTCGTGCGGCCCCTAGGTTCCTAGCTGCCCTAGCTTCTGAGCTGCTATACAACAGACCTTTGCAGCGCTGCTCAGAGTTCTACACGCAAGCTTCCATGTCAGTCGAAGGTGGTCGAAGATGCAGACAACACGGCTCGAGCTCGCCGTCGACGTCGAAATGTCACGCCAAGGCCAGGTCTTTGTGTGCACTCCCGAGAACAGCCTGCTGTGTGGGTAGCCGGGTCAGACCGGCATGGCCGGCAGGGGGATGGCTGTCGGGTCTTGTTGTCGGTGGCAGCGTAAATGCCGTAAAGCTGACAGAACTTATGTTTCTTGTGCCCTCACTTTGCGGGTTTGTTGAAAGTCCGTCCATGCTGGCGCAGCCTCAGCCCTCAGCCAACGTAGATCGACTCAAAAGCAGCGACGGCAACCCGGAGGGTTGCACTTCGGATGCCAGCACCCGACACTGTGTAGCCTGCGAGTGTGTACAACACGGCTTTGATTTTGAATTCCTTCTGGCAAGGAATCGTGCTAGTGCACAAAACTTCCAGTTATGCCGTGTTGTGGTCGTGAGTCGCTAGCCACTGCCTCTGGCTTCCGACGCTCACCATGCCCGGAAACATCGAACACGACCTTCTTAGCTAACACCCAGCGTGCATCCGAGAATGGAACAGTGTGCGACTCGAAATCACACCTGCGTGGACTAGCATGCAATCCTGTGTAGGTTATGGCGTGAAACTGCTGTGAAGCATTTGCCCTTTAACCAGCTTCTAAAGAAAGGAACCCAACAAAGGACTGGGAGGGGTTTGTCAAAGACTTCGATGACATGTTGTGCACATGTATTGCCTGCGCACCAAGGACATGGTCTGAACGATGGGCACTTCATTTGGAAGAAGCTCTGGAGGCAGAATGATGCAGAACACGTAGTTCATATTGTGAGTGGTGCGGTGCCGACGTGGAAGTTCCAGGCCGTTTGCAAGAGCACACGGTCCTGGAGGTAGGAGCGGTCCAGCTTATTGCCTGTCACGTCACATCGCTTGACAGTGCGAAGCTCCGCTGTGTTCCTGTATCATGCTTTCAGGCCCTTCCGATCAGCTACCGCTGCAGTGTTCATATCTCAGTGTCTAAGTTTATGCAAGTTATCATGGCGCACTTGTGCCGGTGGCAACGCACCAAGGATTAACTTCTTTGACATGTGCGACGATGCGTTATTTCCTGTTTACGAATTTTTGGAGACTGGCTTGGCCGCACCGGCTGCTTTGTCTCTTCCGATGTGCCGTGCAATTCATGTATGAATGGGGTCCCCACAGGCCACCCTCCTGCGCCAGGACTCATTGCAGCGTGGTGCTGCAACCATCGCCAAGGAAGCCGCGGGCACCGTAAGAGAGGAACATTTCTCCCTGATAGGATCTGTGCCGGAAGCCCTCGGGCCGGTTACAAGCATTGGTTTTCCCAACATGAAAGGATTTGAGCTGGCGGCATCGGTGCGATCCATATTCGCTCGCTTTCGGATTGTCTGTGGGCTCATAGAGAGCCTCAAGCGTCATTCTACCCTGCACAACCTCTTGGCAACAAAGCAGAATAATTACGGGAAACTTGCAGCCGAAAGCAAAGCATGCTGTGAGCAAGAAGCTTTCCTCTGTACTGATCGCAGTACGTTCGGAGATTGGTACTGCGCAGCAAAGTAGGAGCTTTGTTCAAGCGTAACTGACACTCCGAGTGGGTTCCATTGAGCACGTCTTCGGACTGGGTAGCACCTTTGCGAAGACGGCTTGCAGCCAGTCTGTTTCTGGGTCTGAGTTAGAGCAAGTGCTTGTTGATCTGGCCATCATCGCTGAGTGGCACTGTGACAGGAATATTGCGGGCTGTCTGCGGCTAAGACACGGATTGACATTCAGAAATCAGATTGTGCTAGTGGAATCTGGTAGCACTACAGACCCTAATTTTCAGCTGCACATCGACTTGTCTTTGATGCATCGTGGGGACGAGATCCTCCAACTCAGACCCGTGACACTTTGGCAGCGAGGGTTATTTATGTTCGATACGTTTTCGTGCTGATTCGAGGGAAGCTTTATCGGCCTCTCCTGCTGTCGGGGCAGGGTCGGCGGGACCGACTCACTGTTCAGGCAGCTTCGCAAAGTGAGGTTGTTGGTGGGCGACGTTCCGAGGGCTTTGCGGGTTGCCGGTGCCTGCCGTTGGCGTCTGGTTCCACTGGGTACTTGTACCTACTCGCTCAATGCGTTCGGCTTTCCTTGACAGCTTTGATGGTACCACCCTCACTTAGCAACTTTTTTCTTTCACTTGGCTCCTTCCACAACACGCCTTGGTCCAATCACTTTCCAGTCACTTGGGAACTTGGTTTCACACCTTCAGGGTGTAAGCTTTCGGGTCGACGATTTAGGATGGTTTAGTGTTTGAGGGTCTCAGGGTTTAGGTTACAGGGTTTACGACTTTTATTTATGGTTGCCATGCACATCCAATTTCTGCTTTGCTGTTTTAAGCAAAGCGGGCGAGCACGTTGGCGCAGCCTCCAATTGTAGGCTGTATTCCGGGCATGCGTTTACGTACTACTTTTGTTTAAGCAAATCCCCTCTATGGTCTAAGGCGGTGTGGACACGGTGTGCTTGCTTGAAAAGCGGTTAAAATCCATTCTGTTAGTTGTGCAAGCCAAGATCTCTGGGATGTCCTATGGCAGACTTAGTGAGCTGAATACGGTCCTTATATCCTGGTGAAAAGACTGCATGATGGACTGGATCCCTAGGGGCGCTAGGCGGTGTAGCTAAGATTTCGCAAAGTTGTGAAAACTGTTGTAAAAAGATCTGGGAGGGCAGGGTAGGGTGGCCCGCGGATATCCTTCCCTACTGTTGCTGTGTGAGTACTACGAGGCTTTGACTCCTATGCGTCGCTTTAGAACTTCACAGAGCAGGGCAGGGACAATAATGGAATGACTATTTTGACTTTAGAGCGGGTGTTAAGCCTGCTGCGCCAGAGTTGTTGTCTGCTTGTGCTTTAGTTTTGCGGTCCTCGATAGCCGTTGTAGTTGGACTTAAGAGACCGGGAAGGGCTGTGGGATTACTCAGAATTGCATCTTGCCAAATCTGGATGGATAGCTTAACAAGAATTTTTGCAGGATGATCCTAATTTACAACCCGATATCAGGCTTCTATTGACCTCAATGCCTGCACCTTACTTCCCAGTCCCGGTCCTAGAGAATGGTATCAAAATGACCAATGAACCTCCAAATCTCCATTAGCGAAGTACAAGGCTTTCGTTGTAGTCTGAGAGCGGGCTTTCGTTGTAGTCTGAGAGCGGGGAAGGTGCTCGATTTTGCTGGATTATAACATTCCACAAAAGAGTGGCTTCCGGGTGTAAAGCCTTTGGGACTTCGTTGCTTTGTTCTTGAAGTGACTCCCATCAATAGGGTATCGTCAGCACATTACGGATCATCAAACGACGATGTGTTGATAGAGACACCGTTGACGTGTAAACGCGTATCCAAGTCATGAAGTAAACCGTCATCGGCGTAATAAATACTGGGTGGGCGGGGACCGGAAATGCAGGGAAACGCAGGGGCACAGCAACATTTCGTGCGCGGAAAGGTAGCAAATCACGATCAAAATCTAAAGGTCGGCCGTATCAGGACCGGAGACCCCAATCATAGCTGATTATAGCTTGCGATGCAAGGGCCAAGACCTTCCTGAGCAAACGTTGGGCCGGGGCACGTTCGGGTATCGCAAGGGCATCGATAGCGTCAGTAGATACCCAAGGTCAGCCTCGCAGGTTTAAGCCCGCTTCACACGACAGAAAAAAGTTCAGTTCTCGAGGTTGGAGGCATCAGGTTTAAGACCAGGTCAGTCGAAATAGCGAGCACAACAGGGACACATGCGACATGCCTCGATGCCAGTTGTGATTACAAGTGATTCTACCCGCGAGCCTTCCGAGCTATGAGGCCCTTGCCGTCTATTGTTGCGACAGGGCCTTCGCCTCAGCCAACAGATTCCAAGTACCGGAGTGTTGGACGAAGGAAGGATCCGAATGAAAACCTCAAATGCCTTCAGGTGTAACTTTTTGGACACCTGCGATGATGCTCTAACAGCAGTGTATGGTTTCCTCGAACGTGGCTTGGCGATGCTGGCTACTTTGTTGATCTCGTTTCCCTCAACTAGCAAAGACCGGAAACAAACATCCATGCAAAGATGGTGGCTTTGCTGCCAGGACGTGTTGCAACAGCGCGTTGCTGCCTTCTTCAAGGCAATATCGAAATCAGCATCGTCAGAGTAGAGAAATGGGTTACTTGTTCTAACCGACCAAACCGGTGCTCGTGGAAGCTTGGAAGGCTCGAGCCTCCTGGGACACCGTTTTACAGATGGCAAACCCTGTTCTTGGGGCGACTGTATTGATGAAGCACATTGTCCGCGACAGGACGACCACGACAGGTCTGTGGCCAAGAACGAGCGCTTTATTCGTTAGGAACAGATGATTCCGAAAGAGTATTTCATCCAGGCCACTCATGCAGAGTATGCTGTTAGCATTCGCAGTCGATTGGTGTCCTGCCGACACAAAGGGTCTGCCTCACTTCGCTGTTCCGGGCCTTGAGGAGAGCGGTGAACGACTCCAAACCGGCAAGAAAAGACAGGGAGAGCCAGAGCTCGAAACTTAGGCACCGCATGCATCGCGTGTCATCGCGTCCATCACCGGGCACAGCAGTCTGTTGTTTCCAAGGACACAAGGCTACTCCAAGGTGCCCGGTGACTCCGTGGTGGGTTCTCAGAGCATGCATCGCGAGTTTCAGTTGCAGCGGTCATAGCGACCGGGTGTCTTGGTTTGTTTGTGACTCTGCACAGGGCTTTCCAGCATGCTCACGCAGAGAAGGACAGCCGAGAGGTTTGTGGGTCTCGGTGTCTCTGTACAAGCTGCACTAGTGCTGCACTCACTGTGCAGGAGCCCATTCCGTGTGAAACACTTTCAACCCCGGAGGAATACATTGGAGGGCTTGCTTGGATGGGTGGGCTCTTGAGTTCTGCAGTATTTTTTCGACTGCCTTAGGTTGATTCCAGGAAGAGTTTGTGCTTGTTCAGCCTTGTGACAGTCTTTGTGATCAGGAGCCAATGTTCGTAGCTCAGCGAGAAACTGTTCCACACCCAGAGAACGAATGCCGATGACAGACATCGTTTGTACGGTGCTGCTGGTGCTCTTGGCCAAGGTTCGTCCTGCGAAAACGCCTGCGCAGCACTTGCTTTGTCGTTACATCCGTTGCACATCTTGAGAGAAACAGCAAACACTTAACCTGGCCAGGGCAGCGACCAGCACAGTGCAGCGACTGCGACAGCGAAGGGAGGCGAAGGCGAGTCTTGATTCTGGATTTCGTTCGCCCATGTTGATGCGAAAGTATCAATCGCTCGATTCAGTTTTTTTTCTGTCTGACTCCCTCGCTTTCTCCCTCTGTCCCTCCTCTCTTTTTCGCTTTAGACCTCGCTCTGGTGCAAAGATGTGCAAAGCACGTTAGATGTTTCTGTTTCCAGGCCACCGCGGCCATGAAAGCTGCACAACAAGCCGTGCAAACGCCTGCTGAACAGGCTCTGGAAAAGTAGCACCGAGACATGATGTCAATCAATGCCTCCAAAGGATCTACCGGTGGATGACTCGTGGATCGACGACATAGAACGCAAAGAGGTCAATCAGAAGGAGGCTTGTTTCTGAGCAGACCTTTGTTCGCCAAAACCTTCTTGAGCTAGTTTCGTTGAGAACTCCTTGCTTTTGCATTCTGCCTGCCAGGCGAATGGAGAACGGGCTGCTGCTTTGCGGAGGGAGCGCAAGCATGCCGTCAGAGCACGGTGGGGCAGGGTGTGATGTTGAATGTGGAAAGAATCCCGAACGCATCGTGTTGCTTCAGGCGGGCTCGAAGCGATAACGAAGGCTGGATCTTGCTCATTCTGCTGCATGCCACGGCGACTTTGGTTTAGGTCCAATGAGTCGAAAAGGTTTCACATCTACCGTACGCTTCACACACTTCTCTTCAGAAGGCATGCAAGACACCGAAAACGACAAGACCGACGACCAGGCCTGGTCTTTCGATTTTGCTATGCGTGCCTTCCGATGCGTGACCACAGGATCTTGGAGCTGGAGGCGACGCGTCGGCAACTTCAGCAACGGGTTGTACTCATGGTTTGTTCGGCGGACGGACTCGCATCCTAGCTCGCAAGCTAACCGAAGTGAAACTCGGAAGCCTGTTTGCACAAGGCCAATAGGTTCAGCACCAGGAGTTCAGTGCCATGCCTGTGCAGGTAAGAAGAGCGAGAGACAAGATAAGCTCCTCAGTGAGGCAGGAGCTTCATATCGCTCGCGAGCACAGACTAGTGCAGTGTCCATGCCACGACTGACGGCCTGCAATAAATTGAGGAACATACCATGCAATTGGCTAACGGCATCTTCCTGTTGGCAGAAGAATCAGACACCGGAGCCGAGGCTCTGCCTGGTGCGCAGCGTTTCGGACCATGCAAACTGGCAAAACTAGCGGATGCTGTCCAGGATGAAGTCCCTCAAGTCAAGAAGGCAGACATGGAGGTCAGATCTCTCATCCTTGTCAGCTTGTGTTATTGGCGTAGTGTAGGAACACGTTGCAAGGACCTGCAGCAGAATTTGCCGCATCAACTCGATGGGTCCAAGTCATATGAAGTAGAAGAGGCGATGTGCGGTTTGGGCAAGTGGGCGAATGACCGGAGTTTCAGTTTGACTGCTCCAGGCGAGTGAGGGAGAAGGCTGGATCAAAAGTTCTTCCATGAAGGTGCGAGGTGCAAGGAGACGAGGCCAGGCCTGCAAATTGAAAGGACTGTGCGACAATGTCCCGATGATGTTTGTTTGTTTGTTTGTTTGTTTGTTTGTGTGTTTGTGTGTCTGTTCACGTTTGCTGAGGATGTGCGCACTTTTCAAGCTGCCCTGAAATGGTTCAGGAAACGTGTGAAGGTTGATCTACTCCAGGGGATTCGTTGTCAATTGCAGAAGTCTCTATGTCTTGAGCCACAGTCGCCCTACCACAGGCATTTCTTACCGTGCACATCATGTGTGTGAGCCTGACCCACGCGCTCACCTGCAAGATCTGTTTATGCGACGTTCCACCCGGAAGTGGCGATTCGATTTCCACATCAATCCGCCACAAGGTAACTTTCCATGATCGTAGAATTCATCTGTTGTGACATGGCCACGCACCTGCCGGGTTATGTTCACTGTAGCTCTGACTACGCGGCGCGTCAAAGTCACAAATATTTGTTTGTTTGTTTGTGTCTGTTTGTGTGTCTGCACGCCTGAACATGGTGAAAAGTAACGCTGCGCGTGGCAGCTGGATGACGTTCAGGAACAGGGTTTATTCCCTTGTTCCGTTTCCTGCCGCTTTGTGTGGACAGCCGAAGGGCAAGACTGTCTCAGTTTGTGTTTCTACAGTGTGCGCATGGGTGGGTGCTGGTTCGTGCGGAACCATTGCCGTTGAAGGCATGCCACATGCTATTTGACCACTCGGCCCCCAAGACAGCAAAAGTAGAGCAACCCACACAAGCCCTGGAGAGATCCAACCCTGAAGGGAGTGGCAGTGGGAGCTGCAAGCCGTACCTACCTCGCACAAGGAGTGGCATGGGGAGTGGCTAGATGGCTAAGCCGAGACGTCAAAGCGAAAAAGGTGGGTGAGTGAGCAGACACGGTCACAAAATGTAGGTCTTCGGCATCGCTGTCCTTCTCTCGTGACTTACTTACTGTGTCATGTCCGTACTTCTATTCCTGTAGTGCAAGCATGCGGTGACCTGAGACGGTCCCATGAACTGGTGAAGCTTCTCCATCGCTGCATTGCAGGTGAGATGCAGGCGGAACAGGCTCGTGACGGAGTGCGCTTCCGCTTCCATTCATATACCTATGCTGCAGGAGCCTGCTGCGGAGCCAGATCCTCAGCCTCAAGCAGAGTCCAACAAGCGGCCTGCAGACCTTGAGCGCCCACAAAGCGATGTATCCCAACCAGACAAGACCCAGCCACAGACACCAACGAAGCAGCAGACAGCCGATGCTCCAAACGGCTTGTCCAAGCGGCAGCGGCAACGAATACGCCAGCGACAAGCCGGCGAAGATGCACGGGCATCTGGTCGCAAGCCAGATCCACGGAATGAGGCACATTTGTTTTGTGCTAATTACAATCTGCTCGATGCACGGTACAAATGTGCTCGCATATGCTTTGGACCGGAGACAGGCAGCTTCCAAGATGGAGAAGGGAGAGCAAGCCATGACGCTTCCTGCTCCGGAATCGGCAACTCCCGTGGCAGTTGAAACGACAGAAGCTGATGTCCCTGCATCTCGTGCAGAGAAGGAGGCCTCCCGGTGCCTATCGCACACTGCTGAGCAAATGATTCGTCGATGATTTGTTGGGCGAAACTGTGGAATGAGTTGCGAGAGTCGATGCTGGTTTAGTATGGACTTGATTTTCTCGGTTGTGAGTGATGAGCTCTCCGGTTCTCCGGTTCGTTGGTGCTGTCGGCTGGTCATGGTTCACAAAGACAAAAGCTGTCGTGCGTGCAGGCAGTGCAGGCAGATGAGCTAGCACCGTCTTTTGCAGACATCGTGGCAGGGAGACCGCCGAGGCAGTGTGAGTTCCTCAGAGGCACTCTGCAAAGACAAAGCATGCCGCGAGGCCCCTTGGAGTGGAGCCTGAAAGTCCGAAGGTGGGCATCTGGAGCCACAAACATGGAGTCGCAACATCGAGAGATGACAAGCGCCAAGATTAACTCTTCCTTTCGCATCTATGCCTCGCATCGTAGCACGGTTTCATTCACTGCGGGATGCCTTTGCAGAACAGCACATGCCAGGCCAACAAGCACTTGCTGGCCTCTCAGCCTTTCTGTCTGAGCCGAGCCAAGGACTTTGTGCTGCAACTTGCCTGAGAGGCCATTTGCAGCTGATGCTCCCGACTTTGTGCCAATGGCCACCATGACTGAGATGCCATTCCAGGCATCTGTGTGGATTCTGAGTGAGCTTGGTGGGCTACTGTTACTGGAGTGTTCGCTTCGAGTGCAGGGCATAGTCGCCTTCTTCCCCATCCAGGGCTCGGAGGGTCCCATGGGATATTGGACTCAAGCGCCTGTCGCTGAGGCACGGTGTGCAAAGCGTTGGCATTAGATCAGTTCAAGTCTTAGATGAGCATGTCAGTGTATGTTCTGCTTCTGTCGGACAGGACATGATCAATGGACCATTTGTATCTCCGGTTCAGTGGTCGTGGGACCCAAACTGCTTGCCAGTGTCCCGGTGAGAGTTGCTTTGAGCATTTGCACTTTCGCTGTAGACTCTGCTTCGAGCGGCCAAGGCAGAGCAACAAGACTTCTTCGCCGATATACCAGCAATTTGATAAGAGCAAGCTGTGTGCGCTGCGCTTAGCAGGCTTAGCAAGCTTTTCCGGATGCCTTGTGTGCAAGCAACAGGATTCAATTGAATTTGGAAGTGAGCTTTCCCTAGTGGTCTGGGGCGGTTCGAGGTTTGCCCGCGGCTCTAATCAGAACAGAGCCCGCTTTCGGATCAGCTAAGTTGCACCCCAATTAGTTTGGAAATGTTTGGAAGTTTCGTGCGCCTCGGAGCATTTTCTTCAAGTGAGGACGAGAGCCCGATGGAAATATTCAGAAGCCGAGTTGCTTCATCAACATATGAAAATTGACGCAATTTGCTTGTTTGGAGTGCTGAAATCAGAGCTGAAGGAGAATTGATACTATTGATAGACGCCAATCACACCCTGTAGCGACAATTGCCTGGAAACCTTTGCACAGAGTGCGGAAAAAACAGATCGTCACCTGAGGTTGAAATTGCGTGCTTGCCGTCAGAGACAACATCGTCCAGCCTCAAGAAACAACTTGATGCATGGGGTCTTGCAGGCTCGGGACATGCTAAAAGGTATCTCTAGACTCTAGAGCATTTCAGTCTCCATGCACGTGTGCATCATGAGATGACAGAATCCAGGACAGCTTCGGTCGTTCATGTAGAGTCAGCTCGGGTGCAGTGGAAGTTTTGTGCACAACATGCCAACAGGTTCTAATCATCTAATTGTCCAAGAACTTGGCTGGAAGGGGAACTGGATGCAGATTTTGGTGTGGCAGACAGTACAAGGAAGATTGAAGGCTGCTATGAGGAGGCTCCTTTTGCGTAGATTTGCTCCCAAAGGGTGCTTGCATCCTTGCTGACCAACTGGCTAAGCGGAGTTGGTCTTTCGATGCGATGTTCCAACGCTGAAGTTTTCAGCCAATGACGTGAAACGGGCTAGCACACATGGAGCTTAAGAGGGAACCCACTGGAGCGCGAGCCGAAGAAAGAGGGTCCGTCACAGCAAAGCCAGAAGACGTCGCCTTCGCCTCCTCAACGGCCACCTTCGAAGTGACCGGTATGCGATCTCGACAACGCCAGGACTCCAAGCAGGCAGAAAAGCGCACATGGTTGTCAACAGCCGCAGCAGCAGCAGCAGGGCGTGGAGTGAATGGTGTTGTTGAATGTGGAGTCATGTTTCCCCTCGAGACAGGGATATGTCATAATGTGTCTATGGATAAGTTTGTCTGACGAGTGCAATGTCTCGTCGCCAACCACAATGGGGGCACGTTCGGGTTTAGTTTCTCCTCGCAGCTCAGTGTCGCCCAAGCTTGCAGCCACCAGCGAATGATGCTTCCATTCTCGACAGGATCATTCGACTTCCTGCATGTTGTGAACGGCACCGATGGTCGCACTGCTTTTGTCAACTTTATCGATCCTGTTTTTGCCGGTGTCTTAGCTTGTATCCAACAACTGCTGGAGTCAACATGGTCGACATGCATGGCCAGTGGCAGGTCATGCTGTTCTCCTGCATTTGTCAGGACGATTGTGTTAAGCGAGTGCCAGTTGCAACCTCACGGATTGCGCCACGTGCAGGAGTACAGCTTTCAGGGCAGCGTGTCTATGTCCGACGTGCATGGGCTTCAGGCTTCGCCACGACAGGACCATGGTCATTCAGCTGCCGATGAAGCCTGCTCGATTGTGAGGCTCTCAAGGCACATTGGGCTCGCGAAGAAAATCACAGCAACACTAGCCAGCCGGTGATTCTCCCTGATGCTTCTCGGCATAGTTTGGAAATTGGTAGCTGGGCTTGGGAGGAAAGCTGCATCTTTACGCATGCTGAACCAAGGCAAGACCGACTCAGTGGGCCGTGAATGCGGTGAACCACATGCTGTCGCCGCATCCGCTGAAATATCAATTCCGGAAGACGAAGATGTGTGCATACAACAAGAAGAAGATGTGTGAAATGGGTGCGGTCCACAGCATTGCGGATGTTGTCCAGTTCCGCAGATGCCGGTTGTTGATTCGCGGAACAGTTTTGAGTCGTCATATGCTGGGCAGGTACAGACTGTCCCTTTGCGCACTCCAGAGGAGAGTTGCAGCCAATGCCAGACTTGGCAAAGACCAAGATGTGCTACAACTATTTCCAGAGGACTCGAAGCAAAGCAGCAGCAAGCACTGGAACGGACTGCATTCAGATGAAGGAGATGCGCAGATGCCCACTGCAAGTTTGCACACGGCTCTGCAGAGCTGCGGTCTGTGTGGACGCGGATGCCCTGTGGCACTTGGCCAGTGGAAGAGGCTTGCGGGTCGTTTGAGAGATGTTCAAGACCTTCAGACTTGCGGTAGCTTCACGCTTGTCGAAATTTTCAAGGCTTCCAACTGGAGCTGGGATCCTCTCGGCGAGGCTCATTCGGATGGTCCAGTGGCTTCTTCGAGCAAGACATGTGAAGCATTAATGTGAATGCATAAGCATAGGCAGCATAGGTGACATGCAGGCTCTCAAGCCAGATTTGCTTGTTATATTTATGTAGCAACCGGACCTGCGACAGCCCGGAGTGGCTGTGGATATCTCGCGATCCCGACCTTCCTCATCAGCTAGTTTTGCAGATGTTGCTATCAGAAGCGACGGATAACATACATGTTTCAGTGCACCCTGCAGCTATATGGCAGGTCAATCAGTAGCGATGCACAGGGGGACATTGGACTGTGGCTACAGTCACAGACGATGCATGGTACTTCTGCCGAAGAGTGACATCAGTTCCCTCTTCCACTGACGCCTTTTTTCGCACTCTTTGGAAGAGCGCGTCCTCTGTGAGGAACGCGGCCTGCACGAATGCGCATGTTCGCACCATGTTTCCAAAGGGAGAACGAACACGTACCATTACATAATATTACATACCCCGGCCTCGGTGCCGAACCTATATGCACAGCCCTTTGCAAGGCCACCCTCAGACGCACACCAAACCGCGACGATCTTTACTCTTGATGACTGGGCTGAGAAGTCCAACGGCGCAGATCCGTGGTTCTGCTGCAACAGCCGAAATCTACAGTAGCTACAGGGTTAAGATATCACGTCAGAGTGCAAAGAATCGAACCTAGCGCCACATGCGAGTGGGCATGAAAGCAGCTCGGAAAGTCACACAGCTCTGGATCTATCATGAAAGTTTGCTGAGCAAGCAGATGAAGCGGAGGGGCAGATCCCGGATGCATCGGTCCACTCGTACTTGTGCCTGCTCTGGCTGTGCATCGGGAAGCTGCTCGCAAGCTGATTGGATCTATGCTGATGCGCGTATTCTGGTTTGCAGGAGATTCAGCCACCCTGGAGCACTTCCAGCAAGAGCCGCGATGAAGGCTCCTCTGTGGTCTGCTAGAGTAGCCTTAGCCGCCGAGAGGTGGTCACATGGCGCGCACGTTTCTGCAGGCGACGCTGCTCTCTTCGAAACACTCCCCAGAGAAGGTGCTGGGCAAAACGGTGTTGCACTGGCTGGAGATTCTCAGAAGGCTGCAGCGTGGCAGGTAAAACACGAACATCCAGTGACGAAGGGAACGTCAACGATTTCGCATTGCGTGTTCGAAACGGCTTCTTGGAAGTCATGCAAGTCGGAGCCTTACTTTCACCGTCTTTTGCGAGCATGTGAGAGGGTTAGTCACTCAGCCTCTCATTTTGCACGAGCCTTTGTACAGTTGTCGGGTTCAGTGGGTGTGCCGGGTCCACACATTGACCTTGGCATGTGAGATCTACCGTCCTGGGCTGAACTCCAACTCGTCATGCACTACGAACATCTGACACTTGTGGAACTACTGTTTGTGACAGATGGGGGAAAGGTCCCTACCTGAGTAGCCAATGTCGCAAAGACAAGCAAAACAGGACAAGGTGCTACGCCCGTGCCATGCGATTGCACGTTTGGGATCGTCTTCCGCGACGGGTGGGCCAAGAGTAGGAGCCGAAATGCGAAAACCCTGCAGAACCAGTGCGTTCCCAGCACCGTCCAAAGAGAATTGGTCTGGTTTTTGCTTGCAGCAGATCAACTGTGTTTTGTTTGCAGCACTGCCACCGAAGAGATCCGTGCACTGAGCTGCCAGGTGGATACGGATGACGAGGAAGACACTGGAATGCAACATTCAATAAAGAGATCCTTCAGCGACAGCCACATCGCGACTCTCAAAGAGGCTGGTGTGTGAATTGAATTCCAGTCTGGGTGTAAAGGCATGGTCATGCAGAGTGAGAATGTCCAGGCGATGCACGAGGCAAGAGATCTCTAAATCCGCAGAGTGCGGCTGACAAGTTAATTCCCACAGTGTCCCGAACTTACGACTTGTTGCATGCTGTGTCTGTTGAGATGAGTCCAAAGAGCCACTTCGCGCTTTTTGTCCCCAGGCCAATAAACCATTGAGGCTTTGTAGCCCAAACTATCCCAAAATGCTTTAGCTTGCGGGGTGCGCCATGAAGAGCCATGATTCAGCAAAGCCGAGCTGGAAATACCGAGAACTCCGTGTATTCATCAGACTTCCAGCAGTATTGAATGGGGGCGCAACCTCACAATTCTCATCATCAATTGCATTTGAAATTGCTTTGTGTATTTTGGAGGGTCAGCACTCCTCCTTCCAGTTCAGGAGAACTCAGGTGGTTGCGCAAACCGTCGAAGTTCTCCCGAGGTAGCAATGTCAGAGGCAGTCTTTCTTCGAGGTGGAGAGAGAAAGAAGCACCAGGTGAAGTAAAGACTCAGTGCCAGGCTCCTTTCTAGAGGACCTAGACCTAGTCTTAATCATCCAGCAAGTTTTCTTTCTGAACCTTCCCGAAAGGGCTAGGAGACCTGGCTTTATATCCATGCTCGCCACTTTGAAGACAGTCGACTCTCGATACCAAGGCCTTAAATGCCTTGGACTTTACACGGCCCAGACTTCCCGTTTCAGGCCGCTTGATTTTTAAACTCTGCGTGCGCAGATCGAGCTCCGACAGCTGCCCAGCGCGGAGACAACGTCGAGCCATTCTGTTTGGCGAGTTCTTGTCAAGCTTTGCAGCATGGTTAAAGAAAAGAGAAGCCTGGCCTTGGACACTGGCTGCAGCCTACTCGTGGGAGTAGTGGGTTTTGTTCACCCCGTGAACAAAGCCATGGCGGTCTTGGAACCGCGCCGGCATAGGTGGCCTTCCGAGCCTTCGCAAGCTCAAGATGGGACAGGGCCTTGTTCCACAGGCCGAAGGTGGCACTGCAGCTATCCTTCCTGGCCTCCTCCCTATGATTTCCGAGCATTCTTATAGCAGCTAATGACCTGCGGGATGGGTTCAAGAAGGTTCAAGTGAAGCCAGGCCGCAGCTGTGGCTTGGTTCAGCTGGACGTTTGTGGAGGCTTCACGGAATCTTCGGAGCCTTCATTTGTGCGCGGTCCGTCGCTCACCTTTCAGCAGGAAGCAACCTTCGTGTCCCCTGAGACTCCATCCCTTGATAGGCAGGTTTTGGCTTTTCTGTAATTTGTCAAGAGAGTGTGCAAGAACCTGGTGACAGGCGTGGCCTGGAGGGGCGAGAGATCTCCACAGTCGCACTAGTCTTAAGAGTGTTTGCGATAGAGAGGAGAGGGCACACAAAGCATGCTCGCGAGGCCATGCAGGGTGGCAACCGCAAGCAGAATCGGCGAAACAAGCCCAAAAAGCCTGCCTCACAGACTGCTCTTTTTCGGTCTGTGCTGCGAGCAGCGTGTTCCATGCCTACAGGATGCACCCAAAAACACAGGAGGAGCGCTACAAAAAGATCTTGCCTCAGCGAAAGAGCATTTTTTGTGCAGTAGCCTAGCATGCCTTTTGCATTTCACACAAAACAAAAGGTGGGCCATTCACCATCCTGAGTATGTCACCCGCCTTTTCTTTGTGCCAGTGTCGGGCTTAGTTGGAAGAAGGCACGTTGAAAAAACTGGCAAGTCATGGCTCTGAAGGAAGCGACCCTCGAAGATTGGTCGCACACACTCAAACTGACCTTCCCGGACGGCGAGGACGTCGGCCATCATGGAAAATTTGCATTTCGAACATGACTCAGCTTGACATCAGGACGATGTCGTGTCAGAAGAAGAGGTGTTCGAGTATTTCACAACAGATGAGTACAAGCCAGAGGCGCACTTCTTTTAGAGGGCGGGCTCTATATGATCTCTATGTCTGTGTGCTTCAATGCCCAATGCGCTTGGTTGTCACAAGACTCGAGCCAGCAATCGCCATTCATCAGTTTCTCTCGTCGAATCGACCTCCGTGTAGGCAGTAATTGTCGGCCATCAGATGCCCCACGAAGAAGTGAAGCGACTTGGCATTCCATTGGGCGGGGCGAGGACGCGGAGGTCCATACGGAATCGGGACTGCATGTCGAGACATGCCAACCCAAGCCGCCTAGGCATGCGTACGTCCACTTCAGCGACAACGCAGCTGCCAAGAAAGCCAGGAAGGAGAAGGATGGCGGTGCCATTGGCAAGGCTTTGGCATCCTGCAACTTACTCAACTTGACTCACCCCCTTCCTGTCTACTGACAGGCATCGGAAGTGAAACTTGTCTACACCGACGAGAAGAAGCTTCTCGTTGGCAGCTATGACCACCTTCCTGGCACTATTGAGAGCATGTAGTTGTCCAAGTGTAGAGGCAAGAGAGGTTATTTGTGTTGCACTTACTCCCCATGCTGCATCGCTTTGATGCGTGCTGATCAGGTGGATCCGACTGCGGGACGGTGTGAGCCTGGCGGGTGGATTCTGGGGCCCACGGTCGCGATGGATGAAGGCGCATGCCAAGAACATTTGCGCTGCAAGCCAGTTAGGCATCACCTGCAGTGTTCCTCCTGCCTTTGTCTCAGAGCAGGCATACGGCACTGACAAATACAAAGGTTGGAAAGTGGATGCCGCAAGCTCAACCTTTTCCGGTAAACACGATGAGCCATCAGCCCGTGCAATTCTCAGGAGTCGCCTCTACCTCCGGGTGAACGCAGGCACTGGTACTACCCAGAAGACTGAGGCGGCTGCAGACTTCTGATCAGAGTGGTTGGCATCAAGCCGGCGTGCAGGTCTCCAGTTCTCGTCGTCCTCATGAGCGAAGAGCCAGACATGCTGTCAGTGTGTATCATGCTAGTGGAACAGTGCGACAAGTCAGAAGTAATGTCTGTCGTTTGGCAGTAGTTTGCTTTTCGATATCTCGGACGGATGATCCTCGCACGAAAAGTGTGCTTGACCTGCTGTGTTGCAGCGGTGGAGCATGCTCGGCCGTCATCAACCGTTCATTGCTGCTTCTGCTAGCTTAGGCTTCATAGTATCGACCCCAAGGATGCAGAAGCTAGTTCGGTAGAACGGACCGTCTGCATGAAAGAAGGACAGATGCAAGCATGTAACTTCATGGTCTCCACACCGGTTCGCATCACGACACATGGCTTTGGACATGTGTTGACTCGTCTTGCCAGATAGAATCTAAAGCCCTTGTTTTGCGCTGCTTGAGCGTTTCGCGCAGCCGCATCACATGTCTTTGAAGTGCAAGCGCAGAGGCGCGAGAGTGATGGGAAATTTGGGCTTTTCTGCTTGAAGTACAGCTTCCTGCGTTGAAAGCCCGCGCAGTGCAGATTGGAGGGGAGCGGGGGAGATTGGAATGAAGGAGCTGTTTTTGGGCAACTGCGTGCTGGTTCAGGTCACTGACCTCCATGGGCAGCTCTGGCTCAGTATGCGCATGGGGCCTACAGGGGGGGCCTCTCCGACCCCCATGTCCCATGTCCTCCGTGTGAGCCCTGGCTTCTTGTTTGTCGTGCTTTTGCTCACTTTTCAGGCAGAGCTCCTGGAACAGATGGGATGGAAGGCAACGGCAGCACGCACATATCAACCACATGAACCCCAGGCACGCAGACAGTCGTTAGCCCAGCCCGATGACATCCCGCAGGACCCGCCTCTTGCTGGAGACTTTCACCATCCTGGGCTCGTGTCTCCTTGGCTTGTTGTGCCGTTGCTGCTCGTCAAGCACAAGGCGTAGGGTGCTTCCCTGAAATCACTGCTGGCACCTGCAGTGCTGCTTGCTTGGCCGTCCTTGCTGGAATTACAACTTGCTCGGAGCTCACGATTCGCAAGGGGACGCGAGATGGACATTGGGGCCACAAGAAAGCAGATATTTCTTGATCTCCTGTTTTCATTGTCCTGTACTGAACTGTGTGCGACAATCCGTAATTCTTCGGGTGTTCCAGCTGCTTTGGCAGCAGCATGCAGCAGCTCTTCAAGTGTTGCCGCCGTGACATGCTGGACTTGGCGTCGCCAGGAACTATCTGCAGAACACCTACCTGGAGGTTGCCAGTTTCTCAGACCGCTGGACTTCATCAGACTACCGAGGTTTCGCAGGACTGTTGAAGTTCAGGTACTTCCTGTTCACGCTCCCCAGAACGACTACGGATGTGACCAGAAGACCAAACAGTTTCTGGCCGAGAGTTTCAAGCCGCCATGGATGCCATGGAAGTTTTGCGCTGATGCTTGGCATGTTCTCGGCACTCGTCTGATCCGAGGTACCCTCGGCCAAACTTCTGCTGGGAAGCGTACAAGCACAGCTCCGAGCGTGAGCGTGAGCCTGAAAGCCAGCGTTGTCGTAGGAACGTTCTGTGCAGGATGCACCTGGCCATGATTGGCCCCAGCTCGACGTGCAAGAAGCAATTCCTGGACTTGCTCATGTTGTGGAAGTTTCAGCTCATGTTGCTGGCATTCCGCTCCCACTCATGTTCGCCTGCTGCAAATTGTCCGCTTGTGGCGTGCAGGATTTCATGCCACAGATAGCCCACATCTTCAAGGGCACCGCAACCAAGCTGGCTCCTGGTCGAGAGGCGCGAACCTACGAGCAAAAATCCATCAGAGATGTCCCACGCAGTAAGCTGCTTCCCTTTTTAAAATGTGTAAGGCGGTTCCATACCACTTCCTGGACAGTGACTTGAACAGGCTTCACCAGATCTCTGTGCATCCAGACGGTATCGGCAGGGAAATGCCGGAGCAATCTTGTGATGAGGGTGGTGCTTTGGGACCTGCCAGAGATCATGTTTAAGCAGAAGGCTGAGGACAGGGTCGTGACGCCTGTTGCAGCACCAGCACACATAGGAGTCACCGGGAGATGTGATGTGCCTTGCGATGCCTTGCGGCATCGTGGCTTTGTGATTGACGGGGCAAATCTCCTGCAGAATATTTCCTGTGACCTGAAGACAGGTCGAGTGTTCATGATGCTTTGTGTTTTCGGCTGGCATTCGTCGTCACAGTCCCGGCAGGCAGTTCGTGGTCTAAGCGAGCTTTCACATGGGGCTACACATGAACGCCTCTGCATGCTCATTGACAAGCATTCGCAAAACGAAATTCTTGTTTCTTTTTGCATGTCTTAGTGGCTTCTCTCGTCTGCAGTATTTGAGTGGAAAGCAGATCCCAATCAATGGTTTTCCGAGTCCTCGCGCCGGTGCTGGCGATTGCCCAACCCAGATCGTAGTGTCGTCTGCGCAGCTTCCGCGGGCCGACCGCAATGTCTTCTGGAACCCTCTATCCTGGATCCTCTTCTCGTGACGTTCGTGTTACATGTAAGGTGCAAACTCCACAGATGCACTGACATGGACGTGCAGTGGTGCCCTCTGCCATGGCACAATCTCTGTGAAGACGCTTCGCAGGATTACGTCCGCGAGCTAGGTCTTCTGTACATTGATTGCGCCATTGTCCAAGTGCGGCGGTGGTGCGGTGCGGCGCTTTTTGAAGGTTGCCGCCGTAGGTTTGTTGATCATCCAGGTCTTCATGCTGTTCTCCGAGAAGTATGTCCTGACGGACATTTACTGCAAGTTGGGTTCCCAGTTCTGAAACTGCCAGCAGAGCATCCAAGCATTTAAGTGAGGCTTTGTGTTGCGCCTGGAGCCGAGCACGTGTAGGTGAGGGATTTTTCCTTTCTTGTCATGTCACTGCCTTGCAGGATGGCCTTGCACGGAATTCCTTTCTTCGTCCTTTGCACACAAAGCGAAGAGGGCATGGACGAAAAGGCGGTCCGAAGGCCACGTCTTTCCCTGCCAGCTTTGCGCTTCTGCACCGAAGCGCCTGCACACTTCCATCCAATTTGGGAGGCTTCAAAGCTCTTTTCAATCACAGAGCGTCCAGGTTCGAATGTGCACGACCCAGCAAGGCTTGAGCCAAAACTCGACATAACGCAGGCACAGTTTGTGGAATGTCTTTGTTTGTCGGTATCAACTAGGAGGTATAGACATCGAAGTATCTGCAGTGCCCAGAGAGCGGGACATCATTTCTGTCCATAGGGCACGGGGTTTCTTTCATCGCATCGGATGTACTTCCTACAACTTAAGGCAGCAAGTGGCTTAGACTAACGCATCCGAGAATCAAGACATCCGTGCCGGAATGCATGCTCTTCGTGCACGCGCTTCTCGGTATTGGCAACGTAACGGACAATTTTTGCATCCGAAAGCGGAATTGAATAGATATTTTTGTGGTGCCACACGCCCAGTTGCTTTCGGGCTCCTGTAGTCGACCTGCACCTCCCTACATATGCAGCGTGTAAGAGAAAGCAGCCAGCCGTGGCTACAGTACCGAGCTGCTATTGAGCTGCTGACGTGCCCGTGTGGGCAAAAGGGGCCCGTAATTTGAGCCAAACGTCTCAGCGTCTTGAAAGCCTTTCCCCAAAACATATTTTCTCTTCCTGCCGCATTCTCTCATCCCCCAGGCGCCGAAGCATCTGGAACCACAGGCGTTATGAAGTGGGAAGTGGCGTAAAGAAACATGACCCCAGAGAGAGAGACAGAGAGAGAGAGAGAGACTGAGTTGCTCCCCCAGGGGACTGTGCTGTCAGCAAACATCGTAGACCACAAACCGTAGCCCAACACAGAAGTGCAGTCAGTAAACAAGGGGACCCAGTGGCTTGTTCCACACGGACGCTTTTACATGCCTCTAGCGTTTTTGCAGCGTTTGCCTGTTTAGTACACCACCTGCGGGGACCCCACCGTACACTGTAGCACCCGACAATGATCGGGGACTCGGCTAACAGCGGCGACACAGAGAAGAGGTCAGCACAAACGCAGGGACCAGGCGGGGACGTCAGCGTGCTGCAGTGGTGTAAACGGGGGGACTTGGCTGCTTAGTTGGACCTGGTCCTCCACAGTGCTGACACTCTTCAACAGTTTCACACCGACCACAAGACACCGGACAGAGGCGTAGCGCGAGAGTGCAAGGGCAGTGGGGGGAACCCCACGCCCCAAACGCCCAGCAAGCAAGCAAGCAAGAGAGAGAGAGCGAGAGGGTGTTCCAAAATAAATCCACTTTTGCCTTCTCGGGGAAGTCGTGGTAGCAGGGGCAGTCTCCCCTTGGGCATTTAGCAGCCTTCGTGAGCATCGTTGGGGATCAGTCTGCCCGATTTCCCTCGATTGAGGTATGAGCGATTTCCGCTAAAGCAGGCAAAACTTGCCTTGTGTAGAGCCCCACAGCACATGTCGGGGGCGCCTGACGGCGCGCGGGCAAGGGGGGTAACTCCCTTGCTCATAACCCTTCCGAAAGAAAGAGATGGAACACGGAGCCGACTTTGTTCTCTCATGCAGTAGTCAGAGGGGACCCCAATGCCGGCGCTTAATAACACATTTGGTGGTCGGGCGGGCCTATGGCCTGAGGGTCTCGCAGTCGACCCCTAAGCCCTGCAGAAGCAAAGAACAGAAAGAGAGATGACCGAAAGACTTGACCGTCCTTCATGCCCTTGAGAGAGAGAGAGAGAGAGAGAGAGAGTGAGTGTGCATTGACGGTTATTTTTAATCCTACACTTGTTTCTACTTGGCCAGCTTGCTTCAGAAGACCCGGTGATCCGTTTAAAGGGAACCTGTCACTACGAGCAGTTTTCTTTAGCTTCGGAAGTCGCCTTTCACTGATTGTTGAACGTTTCACACCGAGCTGGGGGATTCAGTAGCTGAAAACTTCGAGTGGACAGGACTCGGCTGCGCGCATAGAGTGGGGAGGGGGTATAACTACGGGTATGTCCCTCCGAAGCCGTCAGCAAGCAAGCAAGCAAGTCTGTTCAGATGAGATGTCCCTTTCAGCTCCAGTGAAACCCATTGCGGGGGATGACAGAAACTTCTAGCTGGTTTCTGCTGTGCTTTCGCGTTGTAGGATGGACAACCACTGATCCTCCCATGCATGGGGGCTCTACCGATGTGTTATGCACTTGCAAGTGCCCAAAGAATGGTAGCCGACGCCGGGATGCGGGATAGGGTTGTCTAGAGTTAGGGGTGGGCTTGCAGCATGAGGCACAGAGCCGACTCTGTGCTCTCATGCAGCAGTCAGAAGGGACCCCAATGCCAGCACTTAATACCACATTGGGTGGTCGGGCCAATGGCCCGAGGGTTGCACAGTGGACCCCTAAGCCCTGCAGAGAGAATATGGCTAATTGAACCGTGCAATGCCTTATGTCAGGAACACGCTTGAGTCACAATGGCGAATGCCATTTTGGCTCAATCTGCTGATTGTGTCACGCTATGCGCGTAGCCGAGTCTTCTGTCCACACTTCCATTCGCAGCGGAAAACGGGAAGTGCAGGTGGTTGCTTTCGGGTTCCGTTGTGCTCGTGTTTGCTGACATAGAAAGACAAAGATCAAACAGCGAAATAATTTTCACAGTCTTTCCAAAAGCCCCACAACATATGGGAGGCCCAAGTGCCTGGTCCCTCTGCCCTGGTAGAGAGAGAAAGAGAGAAAGAGAGAGAAATAAGCTTTCAGAAAAGAGGAGTAAGGTGCCCATTCTCCTGCCATGACTTTACTTGCCAAGGAAGAGAGCAAAGGGATACCACCGCATAGGGCACAGGAGCATCGGGACCTTCAAGGTTGAGCTCTCTGGTGCGTGATGAGGATGACAAATTTGGGCGTAATCAGTCGCAGACAATAAATACAGTCCTCGCAGTAGCGATTGCTGCAAAGTATCGGTGCTGTTGAGCAAGGTTCAACCCAGCCAAACCGCACGAAACGCTGGAGCCACTGATCAATGATTTCTTCAAAGAGGCAGTGGCAGCGCCTTGGTTCGACTCTACAGCCTTGTGAACATGCGGCCGCAGGTGACCTGGAACAGAAGCAAGGGCGCTAACAGTGAGAGAGTCAAGAATGCAAGTCTGGCTCTTGAGCTTGAGCTGTCTCGCCTGTAGCAGTGTACAGATGACAGATGTTGAAGCGATCCAAGGCGAAACTGTACTGGGACAGACGGTGAGAATCAAGAACTTGGAGAAGAAAGCAGAGCTGAACAGCAGGCCGAAGTGGCATTCGAATCCTAGTGAGTCGTCTGTGATGGACGACGGCTAAGGTGTGGAGTTTGTATCGGCTACGAAAAGGATCAAGATCGATACATTGTGCGCCTGATCATGGCTGGCGTGGAGACGGATGTGGCGCTGAGGTTGGAATGCTGCTGCGAGAAGGTCTGTCGGTTGAGCTTTGAACGATCGAGTGCTTCCTGCCAGGGATCAAAACTTCAGCGTTTTGAAGCCGAAGCTTCGTGGTTCCCTCGTTCAGCTGAAAGGGTGGCAGCCTTACAAATTTCCTGCAATGCCGCTCCAGAGTCCGCTCCAGTACTCGGAGTCGGTGTGTGAGGCTACAGTCAAAGCCGGAGCTGAATGGATCGTGGCTTAGACTCGCTCTTGTCGCTCTAGCGATGGGCAGGAAGCTGAAGTTCGTGCACCAAGGTCGCTATGGTTTTGTAGATGAGTTCCTCCGCGAAAACGAACGTTACCGCATTTTCGTGCCAGTCGCTTGCCGGGAAATCCATCATTGATTTCACGCTTCGTCTAACTGCCAGTGCGAGGCGAGAATAGAAGTGCCTCAGCCACATGCTTCAAGACTTCAAGCTGGCATGCAGACTCAGTTCCGAGGATAAACCTGGCGTTGCGTTGAACATGGCCCTGAAATCAGAGAACCTGGAAAAGGTTGGCCTTGAAAGCATTCGCCAGATTTAACACGAAGAGTATCGCTATGCCACTGTGCTGGCAAGGTGTCAGGAACACCTGGTGCCAAGCCAGCCGGCAGCTTGTTCAACGACCCGGCAACTTGAAGGCTGAACAGGATTCGGTACGGTTTTCAATCGTCGCAAGGTGACGGCGGCGCCAGTTTCAAGTGGTTCTTCGCCCCCGCCGGCGTCTGGCAAGCCTGCATATGCACCACCTGCGCGCAAGCCTGCCCGGGCCTTCGACTGATTGCCGAAGTCTCTCCGGTATACATGCTACAGCAGGGAAGTTCCGTCCGAAGTCAGGTTTCTGCGGCTAACGGTGCGGTCAGTGGTGCCACGAATGGTGTCGGGCACGGTGTGACAAACGGTGCTGCGAATGGCGCCATGAATGGTGCAGCAAATGGCAGAGCCAAGCACAACGGAGCTCCTGCAGCTCAGCCAAGGTGGCGCTAGCCAGGTTGTATGTGCGAGTTTTTTTTAGAGTTTTCCTGAGAGGAAGGAAGCGATGCCGGCTGCGAGTAGGGAGCCAGCACCGAAAGAGGCCAGCCGTGCACATCAAGCCAAATGTGCTGTCCATTGCTGTCCTTGCACATGAGTCATTGAGTCACAGTTAATTAATGACTTCGTGGGTAAAGCACTTGCTCACACTCAATGCCTGCTGTATCCTTTTTTTGTCTTTTATAGTGCCCGATACCTGCGGCAGGACGAGGACCTCTCTGCATTCTTGCCAAAGGTGCAGACCTAGGCTGCAACATTGCCATGGTCTGATGATGTGATCCAGAGATACCTGGAGGTCGGAGCCACAGAAGAGGAAGGCCGATCGCTCTGAGACGTCCATCGGGCTGGAGCACTCCCGCTGTTCTGCCACAGGTGGAGATGACTTGATGTCACGTATTTTCGCAGCCGAAAGCACGTCGGATGTGACTCAGGCAGAGCCGCATGGCAGTGGGAAGTAGTGTGGTCAGCTCATGACGGGCATCTTTGTGCATTCACGAGGCCTCAGCAAAAGTGGAGGAGAAGGCGACAGAGCCTGCGGTAACTGAAGCAGTGCCCGTCAAGAGGCTGGGCCTTTCCGTCCTGAGCCTTGTTGCAGTCGCGTCTCGTTCAACAGGCTGCATCTCTCAAAGGCAGGTCTGCTTGGTATGCGGGTTTGGGCAGCCATGTACCCGGTGCAAACGCGGAGAGAGCACCCTCCCTTCCTTTGTCAGAGTATGTCAGAGTATTCTGGCCAAGGTCATCGGTGATTGTCCTGATGCAGAAGACATCATCGATCACTTGATGGACTATTTTTCAGATTATCGCGGGAGGGAGAGACGGCCTGGCGCGGCGCAGCAGCCCGGCAGGACTGCGGAAAGACTGTATTCAATGTTGGAGGTGGAGAAGGTGCACACTTTTCTTCAACCGTCGGAGCTCCAGCCTGTTGAGTGTGCTGGCAGTATTGCTGGTCTGCCGTCTCACAGAATGAGGCCGAACTCAACATGGACCCCAACTTGCCGAAGACCGAGGCGTGTGCAGCATGTTCCTTTTCGGGAGATACTTAGTGCTTTTTCTGAGCGGCAGACGCTCGCTGTCTGAAGGTGCTGGCGTTCATAGACCCCAAGGACAGTGGGTCTTCACCAGGGAGGAGATTATTTTGATTGTTTGGTGGCTGTTTTTAATTTGGTCTGCGGGGGGGTGGTGTGTGTGTGCGTGTGTGGGTGTGTGGGGGCCGAAAAGGGGGCTCCAGACTTTACGTACAACTGAGGTTCGCAGCAATATTCTGGTGGCAAGCCGAACACGCTTCAGCCTCCGCAACATACCGTGTTGACATGAATTAGATTGATTTGATAAGACCTATCATCTATCATATAGAAACTGTCCTATTTTACTCTATATGGATACAAATTGAATATGATATGTGTATTGAGATTGTACAAACTTTGTATCAATCGTACATTCGAGCTTCGTTCATGCTGCAAAATCTGTTGCAACTTAGTCTGATGTTATATAGACCAGACTAGTGTTGCTATATGTCTGTATAAATACTAATATCAAGGTTACGCAGAACTTACATGGCTAATAGCAGGGATCATCACAGGAAAGATCAGCATGGCCCTTCGCAAGGACGACATGCACAAATCGAGAAGTGTACCAAGTTTTTGCTAAAGTCGAAACCCCTAAATGCAGAGCCCCGAGGACAAACCCTGAACCCTAAATACCCTAAACCCAAAATCCTAAACCCCTAAACCCATGGCCATAGCCCCGGGGTTAGGGTTTAGGGTCTAAGGGTTTAGGCTTAGGGTTTCATGGGCTGAGGGTTTAGTACAGGACAGGCGAGCGACGTCAGAGGCAAACCCGAAGTAGGTTTGATCCCAAGCTGGCCTGCCAGTGCCCGTGTCCCTAACCCCTTAGGTCCCCCCTCTCCGCGTCCGTGTAGCACACATTCTTTGACACCGTCGCGGCGGATCACGACCTCGAAAGCGGCCATGGTACTGCTGAGCGCTGCTCCTATATGCTGCTGCCTTAATCGATGAGTGAGCAAGGGCAAAGGCGGCAGCGCTTCGGAAGATCGTGAGCGCGAACATGAGCGACTCCGCAACTGGTACAACGACACACAGCGGTGATCTTCCTAAAAAATGCCAATGCCCACGTGCTCAGCTAGTCTTGCGACACCGTCATCATCCATGTGATCTTCATCACATGGCCGTTTTCTTCGGTGGCTATTCTGTTCCGGATAGGTCATTTCGGGCGATCCTTACTCACGTAGACAAGTGTCACAACGTTTCTAGTCGGGAATAAAGGCTCGATGCAAACATTTCGCAAAGTTGCGGCGGATAAGACACCTTTTCTTTCTTTCAAGTCCAATCGCGACGATATTCCTGTGTGAGCAGTGCCTAAGGCGCAACTCATGGGGCGTGCGAACGGACCTCGATACCCAGTCCAATTCGTTGGGTGTCGCAATATGAGCAATGTACAGAGTCATAGGCCTGCCTTGCAGACTATGAACACACGGTCAACACTGTTTTGCAGGTTGTACCAAGTCTTTTGAGTGCTCCGCCACATACGCCTCGTTGTGGCTCAAGAACGAGTCCGTGGCTCCAGCCAAAACTTCTGATTGCCAAAAGCTCAAAGCCTAGCTTGACTTATAAGCTAAAGATCCAGTACCATCCGAGCCATTCCCCTCTGCACAGATCACTGCTGAGTACCGCATCACAAAAAAGCATGGGAAGGAAGTGTGCCTGCTAGGGAGGGAAACCAGCGTCTTCAACATGTACAACCCAAGATGCAATAGGCAACCACAGTTACATTATCTAGCTCGGTGAGGTGAGCGACAACATCAGTTACAAACCCTCATGCATACTATATCGCAGCATAGTACAGTCTATCAGTTTATTTCATCTTATACATATATATAAGAATTTTTATATTCTATATGTATGTATATACACATACACACTATATCTTATAGTATACTACAACAATGTAGCAGAACATAGTATTATCGAACAGAATAGAATAACACATCACATGCAATGTATAAAATGCTATACTAAAGTTGTAGGGTATAATACACTATTCTGTACCATAGCGGATTAGGAACTATCTTAGTTGTTTTAATATGAAATGACAACTGCAAGTATTATTAGTTGCTTGTTAATATATTAGCCGAATAAATTCTGCATACGTTTGATATAGTATTCATATAAACATATAGCAAAACTGGTCTGGTTTATACAACATTAGACGAAGTTGCAACATATTTGCAGTATGAGCAAAATTGGAATTTACCATTGGTATAAAGGTTGTATAATCTCAATAAACATATCATATTGAGTTTGTATCAATATCAAATAAGATTGTACAGTTTCTATATGATAAATATCATCAAATCAAGTTCTTGTCAACACGGTATGTTGCGAAGGCTAAAGCGTGTTCGGCTTCCCACCAGACCCCTGCACCCCACCCACCCCCCAGGGCCAAAATTAAAGAAACAAGGCAAAACACAATTAAAGCAAACTACCCCACCTCTTCACTGCATGCTGCCATGCATGTTATTTTTGTTTCGAGGATTCCAGCGCGGTTCTTGCGGCTCTGAACGATGTCGTTAGGCTGAGCCCCTGATTTCATGAGGGAGTTGGCACGGATCTAAGGGAGTCGTATGGTGTCTCGAGTCGACAGGCTGGGCGTCCGTGGCCTGGCATTACACCCCGACGAAGCTTGGCTTATTTTGAGGTTGCTGAGCGGCATCTACAGGCAATCTGCCAGAAGTGCCCAGCTTCGCTTGTAACTGCATCCAGGAATCATCATTTGGGTCGGAAGTCTTGGCGGAATGCAGAAGTGCAGGCCGGAACGGAGCACTGCGCTGCAAGACATGCGCTTTTCATGATGAGGCATCGCGACTTATGGTGTCGATGTGCTTGAGGATGTGCAACCTGGTCTGCTCCTTGATAGCCGGTCCTTGTTCTACGTCCTCCGGCTGCAGCGTGTGACATAGCTTGTTCGGGACTGAGGAGCAGGTCTTCCAGTGGCACCTTTAGACTGACCTGCGCTGGATGTTTGTACAGCCAGTTTGCTGGTGCTCATTATGCAGATGAAACGGCCTCTTTAGTCATGCAGCGGCACAGCCGCAGATTGAGATCTCGCGGCTCGTCATCGGCAATACCACGCCAGCATCCGGAGCGTCCGTGTAGGTCTGAATTACTCTAGACGTAGCCATGGGCAGCGCCGCAGATGTTGGGCAAGTTGTAAAGGTCTACTGGGCGCTGCTGCTAGGAAACATTCTGGAATGGTATGAGTTTGCCATCTTCAGCTTCTTGGAGCCGTACTTGGAAGTTCAATTCTTCAACGGCTCGGCGATTTCGACTTGGCTCGGATTTGCTTGCACGTTTGCAGCTCGTCCATTTGGTGGAATCGTTCTTGGTCTTCTCGGCGACATCTTTGGTCGGAAGGTGTCAACGTTCCTTTCTATTTGCGGAATGGTCATTGGCACAGTCGGCCAAGGACGGGCAGCTCTCCGGTTGGAGCCAGTCTGAGCATGTCTGAGCACGAGGAGCATGCAGTAAGTCCAAGAATTCGTTTTGCTGTACATGCCGGTTATCCTGGAAGGATTAGTGCCCAGCTACCAGAGTGGCGAAGTCGCGGGGACCATCGGCCTGGTTCTGCTGGTGGCGCTGCGACTTCTGCAAGGCATTTGCACCGGAGGGGAGATTGCAGCTGTCTCCACCTACATCACCGAAGTTGGTCCCAAGAGATCGCTGGCAAGGTCAATGGCCTTGATCGGCATCACAGCCAACATCGGCTTTTTGCTCGCTCAATGTGCGAGCTATCTGACACGCGAGGCCGTTGGCGCGTCCGCTATGGAAAGCTGGGCTTGGCGGATACCCTTTGTCATTGCTGTGATTCCAGGTGTGATTGTCCACTAGACTGCATTTCATTGCCTCGCTGCATGTGTTTCCGGTTTTTCTTCAATCTTTATTCTTCGACTCAGACTGACGGTGCCAGACCAGCTTGTTTCACGACGCGTTCTGGATTCAAGCTTTTCAGACAGCCATTGAAAGTTCTTCATGATTATGGATGTGGGGTTCTTTATGGATCCTAATGGTTCTTGAACTCGCAAAGTTACGAAAACATGCCACGGCGACGGTGCCGTGATGGTTTTGCGACAATTTTGAACTTATTTCATGAAGAAGGTCATTCGGGGATGAAGGTGTTTAGATCAAGGAACATAACCTGGACTGTTGAAAACGCACAGCCATGCATCCATGAAGCCCTTTCCATACACGGCCGTTTCTGTTTTGTGAGGCAACTGCTGGGAGACGCTGCGTTCCAGAGTCGCAGGTCTTCCTCGATGCTAAGACTCAGACAGGAGCGACATCGGACGTGTTCGATGTCGGTTCCGAGTCTGCTGATGCCAACTCGGGCGACTCGGCAGGCTCGCAAGGCCAGAGCGTCGAAAGAAAAAGCATACAACATGAGCCTTTGGGTGGCTAGCTTTCGATCTCCAGGCGCAGCAAGCCAGGCGGTCGCCCGCATCAAGCACCTGGTGAAGTCACAGTGGCCGTCGCTGCTAGTCGGAATCGGCAGTGTGGCTGGAGCAGCCGTCTTACAGTACGGTGGGTTCCTTTGGGGCAATGTGTTTTTGAAAAAACATGGTACTACGCCTGACAGCTTGATAGCAGCCGGAATCACAGCACGCATGCTGGCAGCAGTTCTTGCACCTTTGGTGGGGTGGCTTGCTGACACAGTTGGAGTCGGTTGGATTCAGCTTGCTGGCACATTTGCTCTGACCTTGGGTGGATTGCCACTCTTCCTCGTGCAAAAGTGGATGCCCGAGAGCTTCGGGGTAGTGATGGCAGCTTATGGAGTAGGATACGGAATCATCTTTGCTCTGGTGGGGATGATCTTCTTCCTGGTCGTCGTGGAGCTGTTCCCGGTAGAGGTGCGGAATGCGGGCGTGGGCTTGAGCGCTTCGACCTGCACTTATTTTTCATAGTGAAGAGATGCGACGCTGTAGGGCTTCGTGCTGTATTCAACCAACACAGCCAAGGTTACAACATTGGCTTATGCGTCTTTGGAGGCCTTTCTCAGACATCGACGTTTGTTCGACATGTGATGCGTTGTTGCAAGCCGCCAAGACTCTAGCAAACTGCACGGAGGCTTTGCTCCGACCCTTTTCCAGGCTGGGTTTGAGATGTCGGCTTTAACTTCGCCTGCCGGTATCTCACGTCTATTGACAGGCTTCGCTTTCTTGGACCCCATGGGGACCGGATGCGGAACATGCATCTAGTGTTGAGTTTCGGGTGCAGCAGCGCAGATGCCAGCTGCTATGAAGCATGGTTTGTTTCGACTGGTAGAAGGTGGTTTTTCAACTTGGAATGAAGGGCAGCGCCTTCATGTGTGTGCTACTATGTGCTACTCGTATGCTACCAAGTCTCGACGGACCCTGTATTCGGACCTGCTTGTCAATTGTGCAGGACCTGGGTGGCTGATGTCCTGTGCCGGCCTTGCATCGCTGGTGACATTCCTCGCCAGCATCTGGCTTCAATCCACTGGAAAGGGAAATCTCCAACTCGCACATATCAGGCACCAGCCCGGAATTTGCAAAACGACAAGTCAGCATAACAAAAGTCAGATCTGTTTCTTGATGAGCGTTCGGTCTTGCTGAACATCGTCTGAGATCAGATCTTCGACCTTGTGACCGGACCTAGCCCAAACGTGACATTTGTCAACATGCGCTCCCGCCAAGAGTCACATGTCTCATCAACGCAGCTTTGGGGCGTCAAGTGTTGGTTGCATCTGCTTCCAGACTTTCGAAGGCCGGATCCATACTTCGTCCTACCGGGTCGAACGATGAGCTCTGCTCAGACGCAGAGTGGCCCTGCAAAGGTTTGAATGATACTTATGCCGCCAGGTTTTCAAAATTTCGTGTCAAGTTAATTCGACAATTGGGCATCTTGGTAGAGTTATCCACAAGGGAGCAGTGCGATTCGCGATGCCCATGTACAGTGCAGAAGGCTCTCCATCGTCAGGCACGTTGTGTTGGCATCGTAAGATGCACGCTCGGACCTGCGGTGGCGTGCGTTGCCTTTGGAGATTGGAGTCTTGTGCCAGGCCATCTCTCGAGCGAGAGTGCTTGCATACTTGGCTTTCATCGCTACTTGAACGAGTCGATGTGCATAAGGCGGTTGCTTGTCATTGTCGCAACATGCAGGCAAGACAGTCTACGCAAGCCGTGATGCGAGACCGCACGATCGGTTGATCTCCTGCTCGCAGCAGGGTTCTTCAAAAGAGTCTGCCACGACCCACGTATCCCACCATATCTCAACTGTTCACAGTGGTGTCGAACATTCAGCCGGCCAGCAACCTTTCTCTCTGTTTGCTGTTTGCATCCTCTGAGCACACGCCAGCCTGTGATAACCTCATGCAGCTTGCCCTGCACTCGTCCTTGCCACTGTATGGCTCCAAGCACTTCAGAAGGCCAACCTTCGTTTTGAATTTTTGACTTTCTGAACTTACATGACACGGACCTGCTATGATTTGCGTTACAAATCCAGGCGATCATGGAGACGAGCTGCTGAATGAACACCAATCCATCCTCTTCTCTGAGGCCAGCAAGCAGACTTCATAATCACGGGCCACGCGCCACAGTGCTAGAAATGAACAGTACCAAGTGTTGTCATGAACTGTCGTCTCTGCAGCATGGAAAGCCTGTCGGCACCTGTAAGAGGCCGTGCGTTTAGACACATTTCACAGAGCAGGTATGAAGCCTCGAAAGGGCGAAGCCCAGGACAAAGCACACACAGACAATGTTTGAAAGTGTAGTTGAGGGAGGCCCAAAGCACCGAGGGCTCTCGCAATTTTGTCGGAGAATGTGTTCCTTTCTATTGTTTTTTTTTTTTTTTGGGGGGGGGGCTGCTAGTTTTCAGTTTTTATATTTTCGAGATGTTTCAAGGTCAGAAACATGAAGAAAACACGGCAGAGTCACGAAATTTGAAGTTGTGAGTTCTGGGCAATCACCTTCTCGCGGCTGTTCTTTCGGCGGCCATG